GTTGTGGTGGTTATGCAGACGTTGCCCAGTGTGATAGATGCCTTCTTTGTAATTCAGAAAGAGAGTTGCCTCATTCACGCTAAACATTCTTCTGCTTTTGCACAGTTTGCTCTTCTGCCGGTGTGTTCGGGTAGCACCTTTTTGCGTCGCCAGTGGGTAGAGAGTGCCTTCAATTGGCCGTAAAGTCAAGTGCTACCTGGGCTTCCTGATTGGTAGGTGACTGAAAGAATGCTCCTAATCCCCCCAAACTGGCAACTTAACGCGGCCATTTTAATTGTGCCAATGTTGGAGCCCAGACAGCATATTTGTTTATGTAAGGAATCAAGGTATTACCGTGACGAGTAGAACCAATTAAAATCCCCCAGTTTGTTCAACATGAACTTTGGATTTTGAAAAAAACGTTAACTAGACCGTACTTTATTACTAATTAAAATCGGCCTTCTTATGTATCAAAGAGGATGTTAAGTTTAAAATATGGTTCAGAATTATTAAGCTAGTAGACATTTTGTTGTTCAGAAAATAGTGCTATTGCTGATGCAATTGGGAAAGGTGGAAGTGACTAAATAAAGAACAAGAAGTTGAACAACAACTTTGCTTTAGTTATCTACTTAACAATGCAAAGGCTCAGACAGTTCCGTAAAGGTGAGTTCATATACCGCAAATCGGAGCACCATTAGTTATTCTGAATGGCCTTAAGTGAGACGTAGTAACTACCATGATCCCACCCAGTAGCAAAGTATCTCCAAAGGTAAAGTGTTTTAATGCGTTTGACATAAATTACTTTGTAGTAAAGTTCTGCACAACGGATCATAAATCACTTTCGTAGTAAACACAATAACGGGGATAAATTGGGGAAATCTTCCATGCTTTGAGTCTCCCTTAATGCAAAAGTATTCATTTTCTAATAAATGTTCCTGGCATGAAGTAACGGTTTCGATTCTTGGTAGCCGATCCCGACCAAATTACAAGATGTAATGGGCCCGGTGTTTCTCCTTTCCACCTCGTCCTGCATGCCCCTGGAACGAGCAGACGAGTTGAACGATGCTATAATTTATAGGACAGCGATAGATTGAGGGGTACAAATATCGCGGTTTTAGTATGTTCGGGAAGGTTTCCTCTTCAGGATCCGATGACGTCCTGCCCTTCGCAAGGGTCGTAGTAACTGACGCCCTCTTGCTTAAAAAGTACAGGACAGCCAATGTGTATCACAAGGAAAGTATTGAATTCTTACAAAAATGCCGTTAATGGTACTTCAATTTATGCTAGATGGGAGCAGCTTTAGGAATCCCCATTATAAGCGGGACATCGTTTGAAGGAAAAAATCAAAGTGAATCAGGGAATGAACACCATGCCATTTTTGGGCAACGGATTCCATGCAAGTATGGCATCATTGATTGAAACAACTGGTGTAGGTAGTGGAATTTCGTTAAAAGCGTCGTTAGGAGAGGTACAGTACTCGCTAGACATCTTACACAAATTGTGACAATAAATGCGGACCACGAAGACCAGAAACAGGCTTCTCATTCTATGACAAGATTTCACCTGCTTCGATGATTTTTTGAGGCTTCAGCACTTCCATTTTCTGAAGCATAGACTAAAAATGCTCATAAGAGAGAAGAATAGGAGACTCGCAGATGAAATGCTTTGGGGTTGTTGTTGTTGCCCGAATTCAGTTGTACCACCTGATTACTTTTAATAAACACCTTTAAAATAGACGAGGAGTATGTTGTTGGGTATAGAATAAAATTTTTGTAGCTTATTTCGGTCCATAATTCAATTACACTTGGCTTTAGGGTTAAAGGTCACTTATGATGAGGTAGGTTACTTCATTAGACTGATCTCTCAATTATTTGGCAGCAGAATAAGATCCAATTCACATGTTTTTTTTCCTACAGCCTACTCAAGTTTGATACCTTACTGCCAGAAGTGCTTTCTAATTTCCCGATAACGCTCGTTGGCGTTGTATTGGTTCACATGATTGTCCCTCTTTGCCTATTCATAAAATACAGCATAATTTATCATTTACAGGTTTTTATCACCTCAAAGTTTTCTATTAAGGCATCTGCAGAGTATCCAGTGTTTTTACAGTGAATTCAAGAGTTAACGAAAGTCAGAGGTGCCGAGGGATAGAGACGGGCGAGGGAAATAAGGAAGGTTGCATTCAACTCGCTCAACCTGCCGACCCTAAGTCAAAGCAGAAATAATCTATTGATGCTTGATAGCCTGAAGGAAGCCTCCAGCATTAGTTCCTGTTCATAGTTCTGAAATGGATCGGTTCTGGTTATATATCTTACTTTGTTCTTTGAATTCTCCACCTTATGTACACTTAAATCTTAATCAATTATACATTTTGATCGGTGCATCGAAGATGGTTGAATGATTCCTCAACATATTATTTTGTAAGAAAGGTATTCATTCTGTGGTGATTTGGGGCATTTCGGAGGTAAGTCTCAGGGTAAATTGGCCTGTTAGAGACCCCATCCATTGTGTTGGATGAGTTAGGCTAAACTGAATGATATTACTAAGTTGACGGAATCCCACCTTTCAGTATCAGCGGCATGTAGAAGAGCAGACAAAATCCAGTTGGTAAGACAAGTAAGTAGAGAGTAAAGAAAGCATTGAAGTGGCCCACTTTTGCAGTTCCACCCCTCGCACAATGCCGTTTGAGACTCCCTAAATTTTAAATGAATTACACTTCCTTTCTCGAGGAATCAAAGCAGGTTATCATGTGAAGCTACGTGCTATACACCTCTTAGGCACGGTCTGATGCATGGACGCTGGTCAGAGAGTAAAGACGCCTCAAATCTGCTATGCACCATCTAGAAGGTGGTGTGAGGAATCACGTGCTGAAGCAATAATTTTAGGTTTCACTTTGAAGGAAGCGTATCGGCAACCATTTACATGATGTCGTCAGCAATTACTAATGACTTGTCTAGAGAGTATAAAAACATTGAGGAGCCACTATCGTGAAGTTATGGCACCTTTCTAGTACAAGTACACTAAGTATATGTTTAATAAAGCAGCCCACCTCAAATGGAGAACTCTGGCGAATTATAAAGGTTAAGGGTTCCTGAAACAGCGGCGGTGATCAGCGTCTTGAAGTAGAGGTTTTCAGTTGTACCTTCTTAAGCCGTAATTAGCCTGCGACAAATCAACCAGCTACTTGTAATGAGAATAACAGTTTGGGGCATAACTTTTCTAGCAAACTGCAGTTTCAAAAATCGTAGCCCTTTGTTTATTTTGAAGTGATAAAAATGCCTTAATTTCTGCACAAGCAGTAAAGCTTTTAAAAGGTTTTTAACAACACAAATGACTTGATCTTCCTGCAGTTTGATGCGAGGCATGAACAATGTAAATGGCGGTAGAAACTCAATGTATGCGAAAATTCTTGGTATCGGTACCCTTAGAAAAAAGGATAATGAAACCAGTTGTATATGAAGAGACTAATAGTAGCGGGTAAGGAGTGCTTAATTTGCACAGTTACTTAAGTATTTCTTTAGGACGAGGACTTCAGGACCATTGTTACATTTATGCAATGCCTCAAATTTTTCTCAAAAACGAAAGAAGTCAGGATGCTAAAAAACATGTTTTATTAATGTACAGAATGGCCGAGGTACAAAAGTGGAGAACTAAGTACTCGCCAAACTAAAGGGGAGAATTATACAAGTGATAGAAGTATTACACATCCCATCTCTCTTTTAGAACGTGTTCCCTGTCCTTCCCCTTGGTCCACGTCCCGCTTCGATCGCCACAACGTAGTCTATGCTGAAAGCAAAACACCCACGAACCAACCACACCAGTCATCAACATTTGCATGAACCTGAGATGGTACCTGACTGCAACGTC